TGGGAATGATGGGAATGATGAGATTGAGAATGATGGGATTGGGAATGATGGGATTGGGATTGGGATTGGGAATGATGGGAATGATGGGAACGATGGGATTGGGATTGGGAATGATGAGATTGGGAATGATGGGAATGATGGGGATGGGAATGATGGGATTGGGAATGATGGGAATGATGGGATTGGGAATGATGGGAATGATGGGAATGGGATTGGGATTGGGAATGATGGGAATGATGGGAATGATGGGAATGATGGGATTGGGATTGGGAATGATGGGATTGGGAATGATGGGAATGATGGGATTGGGATTGGGAATGATGGGATTGGGAATGATGGGAATGGGAGCTGCATTTCCTGCACCAGGAAACCATCCTGATCCTGCAGGAACCCGAGCCCGGTACCGGGAATGTCGGGAATGTCGGGATTGGGAACACTGGAAGTCCAGGGGGTTCTGGGATTTGAGGAATTCTGGGAATGTGGAATGAGACTGGGAATGTTGGAATGCCTGGGATTTGAGGGCTTTGAGGAGCTGGGAATGGAGATGGGAATTAGGGTTGGAATCAGCTCTGGAATCTTTCCCGGATCCGTTCCCGTGGGGCTGCCCTGGCAGCTGAATTCCCATGGAATTCCCATGGAATTCCCGTTCCCACGGGGCTGCCCTGGCAGCTGCATTCCCATGGAATTCCCATGGAATTCCCGTTCCCGCGGGGCTGCCCTGGCAGCTGCATTCCCATGGAATTCCCATGGAATTCCCGTTCCCACGGGGCTGCCCTGGCAGCTGCATTCCCATGGAATTCCCATGGAATTCCCATGGAATTCCCGTTCCCGCAGGGCTGCCCTGGCAGTGGCGATCCCGGGACGGATCCGTGGCTCTCCCGGCATTCCCGGATTCCCTGCGGGATCTGACGGATCCCTTCGAGCTGTGCCTGACGGGGGAGGGGCTGGAGCAGCTCCGGCTCCGGGATCGGGATCGGCTCCTCCGGCTCATCCCGCACATCCGCGTCTTCGCCAGGGTGGCGCCCAAGCAGAAGGTGAGGGGCTGTGGGAATGGGAATTCCCGGGATTTGGGGTCATTGGGATGGGAATTCCCAAGATTTGGGATCTTTGGGACGGGAATTCCCAAAATTTGGGGTCTTTGGGATGGGAAGTCCCTAGATTTGGAGTCTTTGGGATGGGAATTCCCAAGATTTGGGGTCTTTGGGATGGGAAGTCCCTAGATTTGGAGTCTTTGGGATGGGAATTCCCAAGATTTGGGGTCTTTGGGATGGGAAGTCCCTAGATTTGGAGTCTTTGGGATGGGAATTCCCAAGATTTGGGGTCTTTGGGATGGGAAGTCCCTAGATTTGGAGTCTTTGGGATGGGAATTCCCAAGATTTGGGGTCTTTGGGATGGGAAGTCCCTAGATTTGGAGTCTTTGGGATGGGAATTCCCAAGATTTGGGGTCTTTGGGATGGGAAGTCCCTAGATTTGGAGTCTTTGGGATGGGAATTCCCAAGATTTGGGGTCTTTGGGATGGGAAGTCCCTAGATTTGGAGTCTTTGGGATGGGAATTCCCAAGATTTGGGGTCTTTGGGATGGGAAGTCCCTAGATTTGGAGTCTTTGGGATGGGAATTCCCAAGATTTGGGGTCTTTGGGATGGGAAGTCCCTAGATTTGGAGTCTTTGGGATGGGAATTCCCAAGATTTGGGGTCTTTGGGATGGGAAGTCCCTAGATTTGGAGTCTTTGGGATGGGAATTCCCAAGATTTGGGGTCTTTGGGATGGGAAGTCCCTAGATTTGGAGTCTTTGGGATGGGAATTCCCAAGATTTGGGGTCTTTGGGATGGGAAGTCCCTAGATTTGGAGTCTTTGGGATGGGAATTCCCAAGATTTGGGGTCTTTGGGATGGGAAGTCCCTAGATTTGGAGTCTTTGGGATGGGAATTCCCAAGATTTGGGGTCTTTGGGATGGGAAGTCCCTAGATTTGGAGTCTTTGGGATGGGAATTCCCAAGATCTGGAGTCTTTGGGATGGGAATTCCCGGGATTTGGGATCTTTGGGAATGTGGGGACGATCCTGGGATGATCCCAAAGAGTTTGGAGCTCATTCCAGCCCTGAATTCCCAAATTTTGGGGCCTGGGAAGGATCCCTCAATATCCCAGAGCCTATTCCAGCCCTGAATTCCCAGGATTTCAAAGCTTTGAAAACCAGGGAGTGAAGAATCCAGAACCCATTCCATCCCCAAATTCCCAAAATTCCGAGCCCTTGATCCCACCCCATGCCAGGCCGAGAATTCCAGGATTTTGGGAGCTTTTCCCGTTTTTTTTTCCCCAGGAATTCGTGATCACGGCGCTGAAGAGCCTCGGTTTCTGCACCCTCATGTGCGGCGACGGCACCAACGACGTGGGAGCGCTCAAACACGCCGATGTGGGTGAGGAAATTCCCAACATTCCCAACATTCCCGGGATTTTTCCCTCCAAATCCCAACCCCAGCCACGCTCCCAGCGTTTCCCAGGTTTTTTTGGGACCAGGAATGGAAATAAGGAATTCCAGGTTTTTTTTCAAGGGGGTTTTTCCCTTTTTTTTTTCTCTGTTTTTTCCCTGGTTTTCCCCATTTTTTTTTCCCATTTTATCCCTGATTTTTCCCTTCTTTTCCTCCTGATTTTCCCTCTGATTTCCTGCTTTATCCCTGATTTTTCCTGGTTTTTCCCTGATTTTCCCTCTGATTTTTCTCCCTCATTTCCCTGATTTTCCTCCTGTTTATTCCCTGCTTTATCCCTGATTTTCCCTCTTCTTCCTCTCTTTTCCCTGATTTTCTCCCTGATTTTTCCTAATTTTTCCTATGTCACTCCTGGCTTTTCCCCCAATTTTTCCCTGTTTTTCCCCCCATTTTTTCCCCATTTTCCCCCCAATTTTTCCCATTTCCCCCCCAATTTTTCCCCCAATTTTTCCCATTTTCCCCCC